ATTAATAAGGTGTAATAATAATTTTAATATAATTTATTCACTACTAACTTTATTACAACTTTACATTAAATAGTATGTGGAAGTTACATACTTAAAAAAATTGTATTGCAATTTTTTTTCTTTAAAATGCTTTTTCTAAAATAAAATATTTTTGTTCTTTTTAAGCGATTTTTATCTAATAAGTTAATTGGCATGAGTCTCATAATTAAACACCTTAAAATCACATAAACAAGTGCTATAACAATGGTAAAAATAATTGTAATACTTTTCTAACTAATTAATTGTATGGTCTCTCTAAATTACTAAATTATATTAGCCATTAAAATTTATGGCATCAATATAAATATTCATACGTAGTTAAATAAATTATATTTACATTACACATTTGCATGTAGTCCAAATTTAAAATGTAATACATCAATTATTTAATATAAAATTTGTATATATTGTATACATAAATATAATATATAAATTTTTATTTTTCTTTGTGCATGTGCACAGGATGAATACTAGTATAGATCAAATTGCACAAATGTGCAAAGTAAAATCCCTAGTTGAATAAACACAGTCAACAACTGAATAAACTGGGAGGCCGCTCAGAAGACCGACTAGATCCGACACTAAAAACGCTAGAAACAAAAAATAAGACACTACTAAAAAAACTACGACAAAGCCCCCAAAAGGAGAATAAACAGAAAATGATCCCAAATGAAAAATAACAGAGGCCAACGGCCCAAACAAAAAACACGAGACCTAAATAACAAATCAATACTGAACAAAATAAAATAAGCTAACTAAAAACTAACAAAGCCCTTCCCAAGCAACTAGACATATTAGTAATAAGTATATCTATATATAATGTGAATGCTTGTGTTCCTACAAGATGACATGCCGTGGTTGTTTGATTTTTCTCAAATTTTCAATTTTAAGTTTCACAAAATTAATAATTTGACAAGAACAATTAAATTTGAGAACTACGATTAGTAAAAAGACCAACAACAATTCAATGTCTAAAAAAATACCATGATATTGTTATTTATTAATACATATTTAGAACAAAAATATTATCTTCAATGGACGGACCACTTCTCGAGAAGATTTGATAAGATTAACACATATATCATAGAAATGTCCCTGCTCCATGAAAAATAGAGAAAAATGAGAAAAAAATTAAGATAATCAGTTATATCTAACAAATTTTGAATGAATTGTGATTTTTATATATGTCGCCAATAAAAGTAATCAAGATGAATAATCTCATCAATTTTTTTAATTAACTCAATTTAAAATTTATAGAAAGGGAAAAGAATTATCAAACAAACCTGATTAACTTCCAGCTGAAATTAAAAAAAAAATTGTAATCATTATAAATGATATTAGAAACAATAATCTAATTTTCCAAAAGGACGAGAGCAAAATGAAGATTGTGAAAAACTATACAAATTAATATTTATTTAGAGGATAATAAGAACACTAATTTTTATTCATATTTTTATAAATAAGAATCGCTAATTTTATCGTCATAGTTAATAGTTAATTTCGTCACGATATGTAATATTGTGACGAATATAGATGGATTATACCATATCGTCACGAAAGAAAGTTGTATGATGAAGAATTATACGTATGCGTCATTTAAACACAATAAAAACACAATGATTTTGATTCGCCACAGTGACTTTCGTCATAATATGTATTGATATGAGGAATTCAGTTGTTTTATAGTTTATCGTCAAAAAACAAAATTATATAATGACGAATTTTTTGTAAGCGTCATTTCAAATACGAAGAAAACAACGAATTTGTTTTCGTCGTAGTGAATTTCGTCACAATACGTATTAATGTGACGAATTTAGCTGTACTATATTGCATCGTCACAATAAATAATTATATAATGACGAATTAGTCGCAAGCGTCATTTTAAATAACAGCAACAGTGACGACAGTTTGTTGTCACATTTAATTTCGTCACATTTTATATACATGTGACGAATTTATATGTATAAGTGACGAATTGAGGTGCATTGTGATGAAAAATTCCATTATGTGACGAAAAAAAATTCTAATATGACGAATATAGGAGTCGTCGCCGTATGCACTGGTGTAATGACGATTTATTAAATTCATCACTATAAGGCAACATACGGTGACGATTTTTTTTTCGTCACACGAATTTTCGTCACTGATTGACAGATTTCTTTTAGTGAGGTCCGAAGATGATCACGTTTACAACTGAGATTAGGGGTAAGTTGGTGGAGGTATTGGTAAATAGTGGGTCCACGCTAAATTTCATTGATGAGGAGCTTTCCAAAGAGATAGAGATTCTATTCACAAGGGTGAAGGAGTCAAGGTGGCTAATGGGGAGACACTTCAAGGTGATATGCTTTTCAAGGGAGTAAAGATGGAAGCTCAGGGTCAAAGGATGAAAGTTGATTTATACGCCTTACCGTTGAAAACGACTGATGTGGTACTTGGATGTCAGTGGTTGGAGACTGTTGGTCCAATCACAACAGATTTTTAGAAAGGAACTCTGGAGTTCGGGCGATCGAGTAAGCGAATTAAGTTGATGACCGAAGATCCAGGGGAATCTCCTGATGAGGATGAAGACGATAGACGAGTTCGCAAGCTTAATTTTATCATCCTTGAGGACAAGGATAGTCTTGAAGAGGACTTGAATGATACAAAAGTGGTCATTAACCCTGGCGAGTCCGAGGAAGAAACAAACAATGATCTCGATATTTGGCTAGAGAAAATGCTCGAGGAACCACAAGGTCGGGATTATTGGCCTTCTTGTAAGAGAGATTTTCCAAGAGGTTGTGGCGATAGTTCAAGGACAAGGTCAAGGAGGTTCAAGGCCAAGCGAGCTAAGGGGCAACACAAGTCGAGGACTAACGCGAGGAGTAATTGGTGCGGGCCTTGTGCGAAGAAGCACCGCGCTTGGTGCATGAAGGCTAAGAGAATGGGCGCACGAGTGGTGGAAGATGGGTGGAAGATGCGCGTGTGCAATTGTTGTGGGCCACCGAACGGATGCGGATGGACGAACATGGCCGAAGGGCAAATAACCGAATGGCGTGCATCGGGCCATGATGCGCACAATTGGGCGACAAGCGGTGATGACGTGCCTTGGGCCTGGGGAAAACGCGGGTCAGCGCTGGGGTATGCAGTAGGCGATTGGCACGCGGGCGGAAGCCTAGGCCTTGCGGGCCTAGGAATGGCGAGCGCGCAACAGCACGCGCGCGAAAAGGTCGGCAGGGACGGGGCGTGTGAAATGACGCGCGGGTGCGGTGCAGGCACGTGCATCCTAAGCCGTGCATTCATAGGGGAGGCACAAGGGGGTGAGGACCCCGACCGAGCAGGAGTAGGAATGTCGGGCAATGACGTGCACGCGTGAGAGGAGGGCGGCTGGCGTGCGGCGCGCACAACGGCCAATGCGTGGGACAAGTGCGCGCGAGAAGCCGCACGGCACGAGGAGTAGGCAAGCGGATGGGCGGCGCGCGAGCTAGGGCGGTTTGGGCTTAGGTTCGGCGACTTGGAGTGCAAGGCAAGGGATTTGGAGAGCAAGTTTATTAGCTTAATTTGGACTCTAGAATATTTACTTTCTTTGTTGCTTTAGAAGATCTAATGTTTAGGATTTAATATTTTATTGCTTTAATTAGAGATCTAATTGGAGTAGGATTAGGGATAATTAGGATCTATAAATAGGGATCATCCCTCATTGTTTCTCATGTCCAGAATTGATGAGTTAATAGAAAAGAATGAACGTTGTGTTCGTGTGTTTAAGCAAGGCCATTAGTGCATTTATTATACAACCGTGTCCAAGAGAAGGCCATCAATGCGTCTTGAAGTCACACCTATCGTGTTTAGGACACCCGCGCCTGCGCCGCACTCGCGCACCATTACGCGCGCCCCGTCCTTGCCGACCTCTTCGCACGCGTGCTGTTGCGCGCTCGCCATTCCTTTGCCCGCAAGGCCTAGGCTTCCGCCCGCGTGCTAATCGTCTACTGCATACCCCAGCGCTAACCCGCGTTCGCCCCAAGCCCAAGGCGTGTCATCGTCGCTTGTCGCCCAATTGCGCGCATCATGGCCCGATGCGCGCCATTCGCTTATTCGCCCTTCGGCCACGTCTGTCCATCCGCATCCGTCCGGTGGCCCACAACAATCGCCCGCGCGCATCTTCCACCCCTCGCGCGCCCATTCTCTTAGCCTCCATGCACCAAGCGCGTTGCTTCCTCGCACAAGGCCTGCACCAATTACTCCTCGCATTAGTCCTCGACTTGCGTTGCCCCTTAGCTCGCTTGGCCCTGTGCCTCCTGTTGGGTTCTGTTAGGAACGTCAAACAACATGCACAGTATTGAA